GACGATTTAACCTCGCTGTTCTATCCCAACGAGCTTGGGACAATGGGGATTTACTTCCTGGATCGGAACAAAGTGCAGATGTGATGTCCGAGTACAGTACCTGTAGTTTTAGTTTTATCAATACTCTGATTAAAATCAGATTTGAGCTACTATGGGAACAGCCTTTCGACCGGAAAAGGCCAGAGTGGTTATTAACAATATATAGGATAATTGATTATCTAAGAATATCTGACTAATCCATTTTGAGTTCTACAAGTATGCAAAAACGTTACTGACATTTTTACTGGCATTCCATTGGAAGAAAGAACCAAAATGTGTCCAATGACACGCGCAGAGCGGCCGTTGAATCCATCGAGGGTCCATGCGCCATGCAAGTTTTCGCGGTTGTTCCGGCCTCCGAAAGCGTGCAAATGGCATGTGAAGATGGCCGAATAGTCAAGGACGCGTTCCGAAATCTCTGTGGCTTACTGAGCTCTGTGGACGAAGTTTGAAAATCATAGTATGACCAAAATTTGTACATTTTCCCCTGGCCTGCCTGTTAATAGTATCGTTAGGTCAATCACCATTCTTGTGCCCATTTGGTTGTGTCGCTACTACCAGATACTTGTATTGACAGTGCCGACTGTGGAATAATGCACAACAGCAATGATCAAACACAGTTCGCCAACGTTACTGTAGTCATTGCATGAAAGTTGAGATTTTCTTGGTTTGCTGCTACGTAGACCTTGGGTCTATCTGTTGTCGCTTGCTTGTTCAATGGGCAAGTAAAACGGGTGCGTATCGACCACAAAAAAGCAGGACGCTCGAAACTGGTGTCATGATTCGCTTGTAACTTGGTGGTTGCCCAACTGCAGAGTACTACAGTACATAGTACTTACTACGAAGTAAAACCCGAAATATTTACTTCGAGTTAGCCACTTGTTTCTATTCGCGAGCATTTTTTGGTCATACCGTATGTACCGCGTGGACAAACGACAAGCTCCTTAATCTCCCTCAAGTATGAATGAAGGGGAAACTTAGCTCAACGATATTGGGAAGAACTTCGTCTGCGACAACGTTAAAGAATCTGGGACAGGTTGGCTCGTCCGTTGTACTATAGTTCTTTGATCCCGTTGGCTTTTGTAACTAGGCAGTCGTGATTTTGCTCCATGAACGTGAACGCGTTAATTTCCGATATTATTCAGGTACCACACCGCGCGCCGTCGACTAGTCAAAGTGTGGAGGCAATTCACGCGAGCCTCGCTGCGTTCAAAGCGTTTAGCCACCACGCTACTAGTAGTAGTGACGAAGGCCATCGCGACTTGGCTCGAGCGTTGGAACAGCTCGAGAACTCGGCGTGTGCTTGGTTTCCACAGTATGGCTGTGTCATTCTCGCGATAGCCGCGGGGTACAATGCGTTGTCCCACTTGGTTCTCCTGTACCCAGACATGTGGCAAGCCAACGTCTCGCATCGTTCGACAGGCGCAACATTCACCGCCAAGCCGAGTGGCACGACTGTACTCGACGTTGGCACTATCCCGACCGAGGCGGTGGAGGGGTTTCGAGACCGATTGCAAGCCCTGTTGCACAAAGTAGCCACTCGACATGGTAATGGACGAAGCGCTGTGAATGGCCAAGGGCACCAGAAAACACCCCATTTCATCCACGCCTTGGCTCGCCAAGTCCTCAGTTCCATCGTTGTCGAAGTGGCGCCGTACGGAGGGAGCACCGATGTGGGGATGCACACTGGCACCCAACCCCGAGCCACAGCGCACCCCCTTGTCGAAGCCGCCTTGTACTACTTTCTCGCCCACCCTCCCAGTTACGACCGACTTCGAGGGCACTTTTTGCTGTGGGTGGCGAAGCAGTACAATGTCGAGATGACCATCGACTCGATCAACACGGCCATGAGCCTTGTGGACGCCATTGCGCTTCCCGCGCTGGACATGGATGAGCATGGCGCGAACGTGAAAGCCATCACGGAGCAGTTGCAAATGCTGCGAGCCACGTTGGACTCCCAGTATTTGCATTTTACGAGCACCAAAGCCGAGCGGTTTAAGATTGTTGAGCCCAACGATGTACGATACCCCGCCTTGGTCTCGGACGCGCTACGCTCCAGTCAAGTGCCCACTACACCACTGACAATGCAAGAGCGCCAGGCGCGGGCATTGGCCAACAGTGGGGCGCTGCCCAACTTTCCGCACTATGGAAATGTCTCGCCTGGGAGTTTCCAACAGGTTCTGACTTGGATTAGCAGCGATGCGCGGTTGAAGGCTGGGAAAGAACAAGATGCGTGCTTGCTCGTCTTGAATGAAATCCACGAGATGATGTGGTCATGTGCCAAACACTTGTCAGCCACTCAATCTCCCATGCACTTGTCTGTCGACGACGTGTCGGCGCTGGACCAACTCGTGACCGCGTACTCTGAATTGTTGGACGCTTGGCTAACGTCTAACGACGGTCGACATCAAATGATGACAAAACTCCGAAGCTACGAGGTCGTGGTGACATGGATGGGGTATTGTCTGGTGCATCAACATTGCGCTCAAGAATACCCGCTCGTGTTGGCCTACCAAACGCCATTGAACTGGATGAATCTCGGTTCGTTGGTGATGGAAGACAAACGAGCGATCGACGCCATGCGCTTGGTAGCGGGGTACATTCGTTGCATCAACAATGCCGCGAGGTTGCCATTGTTCTCGTTGGCCAGCATTGGAGGAACGGTCGAGTTCTCGCAAAAGTTTGCTGAAACTTGTGATGAGATGCAACAGCGATGGTCGAGTGAAGAGGAAGCAACAAGTCGACGCATGGAAACGTACATGAATCAAGTACGAGCGAAGCAAGTCCGAGCGGCGAAACTGCGAGCTGAATTGCCGGGGTTGCAGAGTGCATTGAGCGTGGCCAGCACGGAGTATACACAAGCGCAGCAAGCTGAAGAGGCAACTCGCATCAATTACCCGGATGTGTATGTTTGCAAAAGACGCCATGGATATTACAAAACTTCGGACCAAGCGTGTACAGCAGTACATGCCACATCGTCCGCTCTTTCCCGAATGAACGCAGCCCAACGAAACTGGGATGCCAAGAATGCAGAAATCTCAAAGACAATTGTGCCGCCCCCATTTGTGGTCTGTCCGCTGCCCGAGCTGGCCGACAAGGCGTTCAGTGTCTTGTTCTTTTTCTTGATCCCCCCAAGTTTGGACACGTTGTCGCGCCTCGCTGTCGAAGCCCAAGTCAGCTTGGTGCCACGTCCACCCGGGTTGGATGACCATGACGTTGGGGTTACCCCCACAAAAACTTCGTGGGTCCAACACTACAACACGTACTCGTTTGGATGTCCAGCGGCCTACCCCTGCCACTGGACCATTTATCCTGTTGGTTTGTACATTCCGACGCAATGGGGCCCCAGTACAGTCGATGGCATCACTCATGCCCACGCTTCGTTTTGGTTTCCGACAGAGTTTGAGCATGGGTTGGCGTGGTCGGCCAATTTGAATCCGCATTTGGTCACAGAGGCGCAAATGCATGCGTTTTTCATGGACCAGCTGGACGACAGACAATTCCAGTGGATCATGGAGTTTCCTGCATGTGCAAGTCAAGGCGAGTCATCCAGGGGGAACCTTTCTTATGCCAATCTACACGATATCCCCCCAGGATTGTCCAAAGCCGAGTTCTTGACGATGGGGTCGTTGCGTGCCTACCCGAACCAGCAAATACGAAAGTTGGTGCAAGCGTTACATGCGTCGACCCTTCCCTTGAGCCATCCCCTGGTGTTGAGTGTGCTCTGTCAAACGATGTATCACGTGGGGGCGCTGTCCGATGCCGACGTGCCGGCGCTTTTGTGGAAACGTGACTTAGACGACAACATGGGATGGCTGGAGAAGTGGTATGCTGGCCTCTGGAATCAACTGGGCCTCCTTCGTGACTCAATTCGAGACTACAAAGCGTTTATCGCAGGGGCGACCATGGCGTCGTACTTGTCCCAGTTTTATCCTCAAGCCCGACAGCTGGCTCGAGAATTTGTTGCCGTTGCTAAAAATTGGGCGACTATTATTCGCAATGAAATGGACGATGCTATCACGACAGCCACCCAACGACTGGACCTGCGTGCCAAGCAGTGCTTAATGTACGGGTATGGTATTTTGGCCCTGTCGGCAGTGGGCGCGTTCGACACCAACGACGTGAGCAACTTGGTGGAGTGTATCGTGATGTTTCGATACGGCCTATTGTTTGGCGAAGGAAATAAGATGCAAACCGAGCTGTCGTGGCTGCAAGTGCAAGTTGCACATGTGATGGCTTGTCGCATCCATGACGTTCTGGCGACCTTGCAAAGCACCGGCGAAGGCGGCGACGATATCATTTCCCGAGCCATGGGGGGGGTGTTCCCCCACCTGCAAGTTCAGCCGTCACGAGTGGATGAAATCGTGTCGTTGGCAACGACAGTGGTTGGAAACGGCAAGGTTTCGAAGGCCATGAGTTGCTTACTACCGACGCCCGCCATCCAATGGACAATCATTTCTCAAACAAGTTGCTTTGAATCGACCGTGGTTGTTCGGGGCGAACCCGAGCACTACTTAATCAACGTCCTCACGGGTTGTGTGCTGCTGAACGGCAATCCGCCATGTCGACTCCCTCGATCCATTGTACAACATGCCACGTACACACGATACTTTGACGAGCAAGATTTTGACGTGATGGCTATCTGCGACACGGTGTTTCGTACAACCCAAACGTGCGACGACGTGTACTTTGAGTTCGCAATCGTCAATGCGACAACCATACGAATCCGATCGATTCACAGCCAAACCGAGCGTGTTTTAGAACTCGTGGAACTCACGGAATCGGCGTGGATGTCAGGGCTACCCATCCGCTTGTTGAAAATGCATTCGCACTGGTTGGACTGCACCCAAAAGCTGTTGGTTTTCCGCCCCCCCACGTTCAAATCACGAGTGAATCAACAGTACCTTGCAGTGCTCGATGATCCCAGTCGATGCTTCGAAGTCCCGTACGCCAGCCAACACATTGAGCTCACGGAAGTGATCGCAATGCGACAGTCGTATCGTTACTTCGTGGAGGAATCCACCGTTCCTTGGATTGCGACAGCCTTGTCCAAGTTTGAAAATGTAGCGTACGTGCACGCCATGATGACGCCTGGCAAGATACTTCAGGTCCACTTGCCCCGGTATGGCTTGACGTTTGAAGGGCACACGGTGAACCCACGCAGTTTGGAATTCACCGAGTTCCACTTGGCCACTACCCAACAGCTTGACTTCACACTGCCGTTCTTTGAGCATTACCTAGTCCTCGAACGACTCGTGGAGTGTCCAGGCCAGCCTTCGACGAAACTATTGGTCCCAAACGGCATGGTTGTTGTGCGCAATGGCATGGTGATAGTCCAACAAACCGACGCCTGCGATGCGGCGCTGAGCTATTTCACGTATGATTTCGCCCCCCACTCCAATCAATTGTCGGCGAATTCCATCGTTGGTCGTCTGCAACTTGCGGCGATATTCGCAGCCTCGAGCTCATCGGTGCCGGACCCCCACCTCAACATGACAGCATCCGAGATGGCCCTGATATTGCTTCGACAATGCTGGGTTTCACGCCCGTGGACAGAACTCGAAGCGTCGAAGTTGGCCAACTTGGCGTCCTTTGCATACAAGGAGCCTGCACTTGCGATCCTTTGCGAACGCTTCGCCAAGCAAGCCCTCGACCGAGCCTTTTTGTATGTAGCTGTCCCTGCCGAACCCAACCACGCACCGAATGAATTGGTCAACACGTCCAAATGTGAACTTCGCGGTTGGAATACACAAACGATGCCTTGGAATGATCTTCGGCGGGGATTGCAGCCCCACGAAATGATAGAGGCGTTTGGGCCGATCCCCCGACCACGAAGGCACGACTCCCCTCCTGGATCGTACTCAGTCAGTTCAATTCCTCCATGTCCTGTGTCCAAGGACGTTGTGGCCATTGTGGAGCGATCGGTGCTGTCCATGGTCGAGTATCAGTCGAAAACGTCATCTCGTCCATACCCATTGAAGAAGCAGAAGCTCAACAATAGCATCGAAGCGCACGTGGGTAGCCTATTGGAAAAGAGTTGGCACCACTACCAAGACCTAGCCCAGCCGATGTTTACCCAATCCAAGGACAATATGGAGAAGGTACTACAACGTACACAGCGGCAAGTGCAAGGTAAAGTGGACACCCTTGAGTCGTATCTTGTTGACGTCGTGAGGAATTGCATTCCAACGCGTCATGTCCATCGAATGAACCTTCGTCGGGCTTGCAATCGTGTGGCCAATCCCACCCTACGTGATATGCTGGTTTGGGCGCACTCCCCACACGAAGTGCTTCGCTTTAACCCGTACTTTTCACCCGAGGCCGTCAAGGCGATTCAGGGGGTCACCCAGCTCTACTTAGCCACGGTCGTTTTGAACGCTCGGTTGTGTCGCATTTTACACTTGATAGAGTCAACGGCGTCGGACGCGCAGGTGCTGCAAGAACTGCAAGTCACTCGGACGTGGAGCATCGAGGACCATCCGCGGTGGCTCGTATTTGAAGTCGAAGGGTCGTTGCAGATTCGCCCCGAGCAGGCCACGATCGCACAGCATTTATTGAACGAGCCATCTGGGACGATTTGTCAACTCAACATGGGGCTCGGCAAGACGCGGGTGATTTTGCCCCTGCTCATTCTGCACTACACCAGTCAAGGCCATGTGCCACGGGTGCATATCCTGGGACCGATTTTACAAGAAGCGCTGGCGTTCTTCCACCTGCACCTCAGCGCATCGACGCTGGCGATTCGTATTTTGGACCAGCCCTTTCATCGACAAGCTGAGCTCACTTCGTTTGGCATGTCGATCTTGGGCCAGCCGATTATGAACGCTTGCTACGTTGTCGCCCCCGAGCACCGGTTGTCGCTGGAAATGAAATTGCAGGAATGGGTATACGAAAAAAACGTTCACGCGGAGCCATTGGCGGCCCTTCTAGCACAATCAAAGTTCGTCGACATCTTCGACGAGGTCGACGCATTGCTGCACCACCGGTATCAACTTGTGTACGCCATGGGAACTCCTGATAGACTGGACAACTGCGAGACGCGTGCGGTCGTTGCGCAGGGGTTGCTAGCGGTGCTGAATACGTGTGATCGGGACAGCCGGCTCCACCAGTGGATTTTCCAGCATGGGCTTCAAAACACCAACAAGTCCAAGAGTGCATTTCGGGAAATTCGACTTAAAGTTGGCGTTCCCGAAGCCGCTCTGGAAGAATTTCGTCGACTGGTAGCGCACGCCATGATTGCTCACTCGTCTGTGCACTTTCAATGGCTCGGGCTTTGGTGCCAGAAAAGCTCAGCTCACAAAGACGCCCTTGTACGATGCTTGCTGCTGAAAGATGGGGAGATTGATGGTCTACAATGCTTAGCCAGCACGTCCGCGTATGCTTCCATGCTGGCGCTGCGCGGGTTCCTTGCGTTTGGAATCTTGGAGCATTGCCTTCAACAACGCCCCCGTGTGCAATATGGTGTTGACCCCCATCGGCACCCCAAGCGACTGGCGATTCCGTTTCGAGCTGCCGACGTCCCCTCAGCTCGGGCAGAGTTTGGCCACCCCGACGTTTCCATCGTTTTGACGACGCTAGCCTATTACTACCAAGGATTGACGGAGACACAGGTACCCCCACTGGAATCAATGCCTATGCTTAATCTGATGTTTTCTAAATGATGATTAGGTGCTGGAAGCGATCAAGGTATTGCTTTCACTGGGTCGTTCAGCGCGGACGAACGAGTACGAGACTTGGTTTAGTCCCATTCGCGATGAGCTGCAGCCAAAGGAAAGCCAGATGCTGGACAATTGCTCCAAGCTGGATACGTCGAATGGCCCCCAAATGACGCTCTTGGTGGCAAAACTAGCGTTTTCCACGAATTTGATCGATTTTTGGCTGCGCCGGTGTGTGTTTCCCACGGATTTGGTGCAATATCCGGCTCGCATTGCGTCTTCGGCTTGGGACATGGCCAACAGCGACCATGCCAAGGGGTTTTCTGGAACGAATGAGTCGAACCCGATCCTACCCACGCAAATTACACCGAACCAACCACAGCTGCCATCGTTGTTGGCTACGAATGGCCTGATGCTGGACCGACTCATGACGTGTACGGTGACTTGCCATGCTTTGGCAGCCGGTACCTTGTGGAAATCGTTGATGGAGTACGTCGTGGCTGGTGGCTACGAGGCGTTGATAGACACGGGGTCGCTCTTGGCTGGCATTTCGAACGAAGCCATCAGCATGTACATGCTCAACCACGACAATCTGCATGCAAAACTCGGCGCCATCGTCTACTTTGACCCGCCCCAAGGGTGTTGGATGTCCCTGAATCGAGCCACACGACACGCGGTACCCCTCCATGACTCCCCCATCAAGGAGCGCGACTCGTTTGTATTGTTTGACGAAGCTCGATCCCGGGGCACCGACATGAAAATGCGCGCGTCGGCGGTGGCCGTGCTGACGTTGGGCCCGAAACTGACCAAAGACAAGTTGATGCAAGGCGCGGGGCGACTTCGCCTGCTGGGCAAACACCAACGAGTCGTGCTGGCGGTTCCTCCAGAAATCCAACAAACCCTACCCTCTGTGACGTTGCCAGGCATTCTGGAATGGGTGGTGAAGAACACGGCCGCGAACATCGAGGCAGGTTTGCCCTCGTGGTCTGAACAAGGTCTGTTCTTTTGCAAGAGCAAACAAGAGGCATTTCAAGCGGTGGTGGAGGAGCACTGGGCCCTGAAAGACCTGTACGAGCTGCCGGTGCGCGTCCAGAAACTGTCGTCGTATGTAGCCGATCAAGTGGAAACGGATTATGATGGCAGCGACATGGCCAAACTGATCGCGGATCAATGCGCGTCGCTTGGGGTGGAAGTGGACGTGTCCTTGTCGTACGGCGAAGAATGCGAACGGGAACTGCAAGTTGAAGAGGAGGAGCAACAAGAAAAGGACGTCGAGATGCGCGAGCAGAAGCCGCGTGTCGAAGCGTCGTGGAACTACTCGTCGATTTTAACGGCAAAGTCAGCTCAAGACGTTCAAACAACGGTGGTCCCTCTCGCTGAGGGCATACCGCAACTGTGGGGGCTTGGTGACGTGGCATGGCCAGCGACCATCTTTGGGACGACGTCGTTCTTCAACACGCTTGCATCCAAGACAACCCTCAAGTATGCGCGTGTCGTGGACTCGGTGGCCCTTTTTCCAAATGGCGACGTGTTGTTGCTATCGGACAAGGAAGCTGATGCTGTCTTGGAGCTCGTGTGGGCGCGACCGTCTCGCTCTGTGCTTGGCCTTTTGCGGGGTCGGTTGAACCCACAGTTTACACTGGAAAACGTCGCCATGCTACACCATGCAGCTGATGGTACGCCATCTCCCATGGCTGTCGGCAACGAAGTGGCGCTGGCGTTGCTGAATGGCGTGACGAGGTTTGATGCAACCACGCAACCGTCCCTGAAAGCATTGCTCGCCAAGCCTCTGGCCCGGGTGGCTATTTCAAATCTGATTGACGCCCGCGGCGAAGGGCGCAACTGGATTGAATCGGACTTGGAAAAAGCGTGCAAATTGATGGAGCTGGTGGATGTAGCCAACGAGTAGCGGCGATGACAGTACAATTTCATGACAAATATATATTACTACTCTGGTCCATGAAAAGAGTCCCATTTGTTTTGACTTGTTTAAAGTATGGAAATTGGCAGAGTTCTGAGAAAATAACTCTATAAATACATAATTTTATTGATACATAGAGGTATATACCCAAAATCAGCCGCCGGCCATGGAGAGAGAGCTGTAGTCTGTGCACACGCCGAATGAACGGACAACTTCAATAGATAAAGTATAGCTCTATACTGTTGCGTGCTATATCAGAGAACAAACCTTGGATAGGGTCGTCCTGGCCATTGTATCGGCATGATGTGGTGATTGACACTTGCACAACGACACAAGGCGCAACTAGCTAACAGTGAAGTATTGTTTTTCTACCCCGACCTGACTTGCAAGTTGTACTGCACTTATGTGACTTAACGATACAATTGTCTGCCGAGAAGTTTGAAGAGATAAGGGTGACATGTGTCGTTCGAATGGTGACGACGACTTTGACGATATCTAGATTTAGGCCAACGGTAAATAAGGGGTGGTAGCATTACGTTCCGAGTCTCGACGGACTGGGTTTAGGGGGCTTGGGCTTCGCCAGCTATCGATCGCTAGGGTGAGCCCAAAGCACTTGCCATGTACAGCATGGCGACAAGGATGGTCTGGATGGCGTCGGTGGCGGCGCGGGCGGCGTGGCTCGTCGCGGCGAGGGAAGACCAGGCAGACGGATGTGTTTCCAGTGAATGGGCTAGCCATTCCCACTGGATTGTGGGGTGAGTCGTCGTCACTATTTTGCAAGGCGACGACTGCGTGGAAGGTGCTACAAGACGCAGCGGGGGCCTGCCAGAGCCATCGGGGAGGATGCTACTGGCGAAGCTTTTGGGGGAGGCGGGGATGGTGCATTGTGAAGTGGCTGGGTGGTGCATGTAACTGGTTTGCATATGGTCCAATGCTGCGGTCAGGCCGACAAGACCGGTCAACTGCAATGTGGACGCTGGAAACGCAACAGAAATCGTCCGAGTCTCGGGGAGCAGTACCGAGGCGAACGATTTCGAGGTCTACACGTGGCGTCACCAGAGGTCGATCGACGAGCCACCGCGGGAAGGCGGTGGGGCTGCACTTGCAATTTGGAAATGCTGCCATCGTACCATCATCCAACCAAGGTCCGACACACGACGTCATAAAGACATGTTGAGGTGCAAAGATGGTGGTGTACGTGCGTTTCTTTTCAGGTAGCGCTGAATGTACTGCACAATTGAGTCGGACCGGGTTGGTTGTATTTGGGTGACCTCATGTTGGCTACACCAGTTAATTTCAGTGCCTAGAGAGTGTTGGTTATGATGCACCACTCGAGTAGGCACATTCACAGTGGAGAGCTGTGTTAACGTGACCACGTACACCGTCGCGTGCTTGAAAGCTAGCCGCCGCGGCCGCAGACAAGGGTTCAGCCTTGGACTCGGGCGGGTAAGTCGGGTTGACCATGGGTGCAAAATTCACACAAATGGATTTGATTGGCCAAGGGTGCACCAATCATCGTTGTTGCAAAATTGGAAATGTGCGATCTTTGATAGAAACGCAATATGCGGTCATAGCGTAGTGGCAGTGACGTTGGAGTCTGAATTGAAATTGCATCAAGAATGGCGTAATGCTAACTAACTCACGTGTACGTAGTGTTGACGAGGGGGGCACTTTCTGATTACACAATCTATGCTGTAAACAACACATTAACTTCAATGACGTTCTTTGGAGTGTTCTAACAAATACTGAGCGAGGGCAATAATGGGGCTCTCACGATTTTCGGTGCAACACCGCAATTCAGACTCCATCAGAACCATTGACGGTGTGAAACGTATACTGTTACACAAAACGCTCTAGATTGTTTGAAAGTTGCAAGCAAAGTTGACCCCCAATTGATTTGATAGCCTCTCCCAGATTTGGAACATGAAGGTTCTAGAGCAAGTCATTTAGGGGGCGTGAAATGCAAAGTATGAACCCTGTCCAAATACTCGATATAATCGCCAAACAGCAGATTGCAGTCGAGCGGATGGATGGAGATACTTGTTGACGATCTGTACGTGTACACAAAACCTGAGATGGTCGATGGTCAACGTAGGTCTTTTCATATACAGTAA